CAAACTCCTGAGCTCAAGCCATCTTCCCATCTCAGCTTCCTGACTACAGGCACACACCACCACACCCAGATAATTTTTAGCTTTTTTTTTTTTCTGGTAGAGATGGTGTCTTGCTATGTTGTCCAGGCTGTTCCTAAACTCCTGGGCTCAAACGATCCTCCTACCTTGGTCTCCCAAAGTGCTAGAATTACAGGTCCTTCTACTAATCTATAAGGCCAATATAAGTTTGTAATTATATCTTCCTGGTGAATTGAAACTTTGTTATTTATGAAGGGATCCATCTAAAGTGTGTGTGTGTGTGTGTGTGTGTGTGTGTGTGTGTGTGTGTGTGTTTAATCTGAAAATCTCTTTTGTCTATTACTTTTTGCTTAGTCAGTTTTTTATTATATCTGTATCAATAAAATTTGGATAAGATAAACCACTTTGAGTGATATAGCATAAAGGATTTACTTTAAAAATGAGACTTTACACAATTGTGGATACTAGTTAACAACTCTGCAAGGCTGTTGCCTTTACATTTATTGTTGAGCATGAAGTAAGTGGCTGGGATCAGGAAGAACTGGACATGAAGTGGGGAAGAGCAAGGACAAACTGGAACCCATGAGGAGGACAAAGTCAAACCTATATCTGTCTCATTGCCTACAACATTGATGATATGGATGGCCTTCAGGACAAGTTGATGCCCTTTGCCATGGAGTTGTACACACACCTGGCCAGAGAGGTTGGAACCAGAGAGGCTGAAGGAGATCTAGTGGGAGCTAGGAGTTGTAGTCAAATGGCACTAAGGTGTAGTCACCTATGGCACTAAGGTGAACTACTAAATCAGCAACGTTGTGCATAAGCTGCCACAGTGCTTGGTACACCACATCAATCTTCAGAGGGTAAAAATGGCTATTCTTTCATTTATGCCTTCCAAATATCATGCAGATTTCTCATGTGGCCAAATGGGAACCATTTAAGAAAAGGAATTCTTGCAAGTGCAGTTCCAGCAGTTGACAGTACAAAACTATAATATCTTAAACCCTCTTTAGAACAGTGGAAGAATCTTGGAACACCTAACTCTGTCCTGTTCCAACTTAAATGATAATTTTCTAATATTTTAGTTCTTCCTTTAAATATTATAAATTAAAAGCCATTATAATTATTTGCTATAGATAACATTTGCTTAAATTTACCTCATGTTTATCAGTTTTCCGTCTGTGATGATTTTCCTTCTCCCCAGAGTATATCCTTTAGAAGTTTCTTTATTGTATATAGATCTGATGGTAGTAAACATTTACATTTTTGTTTGCCTGTAATGTCTTATCTTTCCTTGGTTCTTGAAAGGATGATATTTTGAAAGTACTTTTTTCTCTGTCTGCTTTTAAGGTCATCTCTTAACCTGGTATAACTGCACTTTCACTGTGAGGTGCCTAACTGTGGAATTTCTTCAATTTTTTTTTTCTCTATTTGTGGATTCATTTATTTCATTAGTTCTGGAAAATTCTGAGCCTTTTTCTTTTTAGATAATGCCTGTTCTTTATGCTCTTTCCTTCTGAGGCTCCCATTAGATATGTGTGGGATCTTCTCATCCTTTCATATTGTTTAATGTTTCTTTCATATTTTCCTCTCTTTGTTTCTCTCTCTTGTGTTCTGGGAAAATTCTTTCAGTCTACCTTCATTTCACTGGACTTTTCAGCTGTGTTGACTCTGCTTTTTAATCCATCCACTGAGTTTTTGGTTTAACAAATATATTTTTTATTTATAAAAATTCTATTCAGTTACTTCATATATTTGTCTACTCATTTTTAAATCCCTTATTACTTGCTTTTTAAATGATTTCATAGTTTTAGTTGTTTTTATTTTTTAAATAGAGACAAGGTCTATGTTGCTCAGGCTAGTCTTGAACTCTTGCCCTCAAGTGTTCTTCCTGTCTCAGCCTCCCAAAGTGCTGGGATTAGTACAGACACTATGCTTGCCAAATTTCACATTAGAAAAAATCATAATGATTCTATATTCTTTATTAATTCTAATATCTGAAATTCTTGGGAGTTTAAGTTTACTGTTTGTTGTGTCTGCAGGTTCCGTAATATGGTGGTTTGTTTTCTTTTATCTCTTATTGTGAGCTCATGTTTAGTTGGCCTTTCTCCAAAGGATACCTGGAAACCTACATTGAGGATGTTTTCCAGCACAGAAGATAAACATTCATGGTGTGTGTGTGTGTTGGGGAGTAGGGCAGAGACATGAAACTTTCTGGTTAAGTTTGGAATTTACAGACTTAATTCCTCTACCTTTCAGTTAGTTTAAAGCCTAAATGCCTGTTTGTAGTGTCAATAACGGCATTTGTCCTCAGGACAACCCTGCCTTCTTAATTATACTTACCAGTCATCTCCATGAGAGTCCAGTACAAAATAAAAATTAATTTTTATTCAGAACTTGAGTTGTTCTGAAGCAGGAGGGCCCTTCAGAGTTTCTAGGCCACCATACTGCCAAAAGTAGAAGCCTTCCTTTTTTTTTTTTTTTTTTTTAAGAGACAGGGCCTTGCTCTGTCATCCAGGCTGGAGTGAAGCAGTGTGATCATGGCTACTGCAGCCTCAACCTCCTGGGCTCAGGTGATGCTCCCATCTCAGCCTCCTAAATAACTGGGACTATGAGCACATGCCACTGTGCCTGGCTAATCTTTGTATTTTTAGTAGAGACAGGATTTCACCATGTTGCCCAGGCTGGTCTCGAACTCGTAGGCTCAAGCAATCCGTCTGTCTGCCTCAGCCTCCCAAGGTGCTTGGATTACAGGCATGAGCCACTGTGCCTGGCCTTTCCTTCGTTCTTAATCCCACTGCTATCTGACTTTCACTCCTCACCATTTATTGAAGCTGTCTGGTTAAGTTACCAAGAGTTACTATATCCAAGAGATCGCTTTCTCTGTCACTAACGCTTGACACTGATCTTTGTCTAATGCTGTCTTTATTGGTTTATCTTTGATTTTTTTCCTAGTTCTCAGGCAATAATTTTCTGTCTTCTTTTATGGCTTTTCTTCCTTTACCTACCCTTAAATATTTATATTCTCCAAAGTTATGTCCTTGGCCATTTTCTCTCTCTTCTTTGGCAATTTATCTCTTCCTATGACTTCACCTACCATTTATATGATGATGACTTCAAAATCTCTATCTATAACCCAGACCTCTTTTCTTTGCTTCAGATAAGTATATCTAACTACTTGCCAAACATCTTTTCCTGGATATCCTCAAATATTTTTGTCCTAAAATGAACTCCAAATCTCAAATCTGTTATACCAAACCTCAGTTGATAGTGTTAGCATTCCTCCGGTTGCCACAGCCAAAAACTCAAAGGTCACCCTAATCTCTCCTTTCACCATCCAGATGGTGACCAAGATCTATTGATCTACTTTTTAAAATTTCTTCCTATTGAGTATGGAAAAACAGGCACGCTCATATTTTGCTTGTGGAAGTGTAAATTGTTACAAGCCTTACTTATTACAGCAATTTGAGGCATATAGCAAAAGTTTTAATAATGTGTATATCCTTTCTCCCAAGAATTTCACATCTAGTAATTTATCCTAAGGGAATAATTGGAAATGTGTACAAAGACACGTGTATAAGAATGATTATAATAGCAAAACTGTATAAAGAACCTAAATTTTCAATAAGATTCCTTAAATATACCACTTTGTAATAAATTTTATTTTTATAATAAATATTTGTTTCCAGAAAGGGCATATAATAATATATTAACAGTGGTTATTTTAGGTAGTAGGATTTTAGATCTTTTTTCTTTGTGCTTCTCTGGGTTATCCACATTTTCTACATTGAGCAAGTATTTATTTTGTAGTTAGACAAAATAAATTATTTTAAAAATTTCTCTCCTGTTCAACAAATTCCTTTTTTTCACTGTGACAGTCTCCTTATCTCCCATCTACATCCTCCTTCCTCATCTTTCACCCCTCATTGGCCTTCCTGTCCTCAGCCCCAGACCCTGCAATTCCCTGACACTGTGGCCAGAGTGGCCTAACTCACAATTCAACCATGACTCTCCCTCCCAGGTCAAAAGCCTGGATGTCCATGCTCCTCAGCATAGCCAGAGAGGCCCTTCTTGGTCTGCAGACTCCTCTCTCATCCGAGGACTAAACTCTCCTGCGCCAGCAGTTTGTTTTGCCCACAGGCTGCCTTTTCTCATGACTCTCTTCTGCTGAAAGCTTCCTCCTCCTGGATCACTCAGGAGATCTGCCCTTTAAGTTGGGCCGTGCTCTCCCCTTTCTGGCTCTCCACCTCTGCTGTTGCATGTTCCACATTGGGCAACTCTACTTTGCTTGTTTGCTGTGAGCTTCTCAAAGGCAAGGTCTGCCCCTTCCCTTTTGTATCCTGGGTTGCCTACACATGAAGATACTCAGCAATGTTTTGTTGCATGGTACACACAGATAGATTCTCTTAGGCAGAGTCACAGTTAGACTCACAGATTTCCATCACCTGGCCACCAATCTTCAAGCACAGACACAAGGAAACTATGATACGTATACATAAAGGCATGCCTATAGAACAGTTTCTGGCTGATTTCACAAGCAGCCTCCGGGACTTTGCACTTTCTGATCACTTGTCTGGAACTTTCAGCTCTTCTGTTCTTTCAGTTCTTCATGTGGCTAGTTCTCTCTCATCTTTCCAGTCTCAGTTTATTGTCACCTTGCTAGAGAGTTTTCCGTGATCTAAGTAGCCCTCCCTTTCCATTTCTACTTCCAATATTCTATTTCCTTTACGGTGTTTTTTAAGAATTTATAAAATTATTGTTTATTTCTTGTTCATTATCTGTCTGTTCCTACCTCCTACTCTGATGTGATTCCATGAAGGCTGGATTTTGTGCTACTTTACAAACCATTGTAAATTCTGTGCCTAGGTAAATGAATAAAACACACTCAGATACAAGCTACACATAATTAAAAACACCCATTGCCAGGCATCCAGACTGGCCATACACTCTGGCAGGCCCCTCCCTGCCAATCTCCCACTTACCGGAGTCAGAAACTTGTTGGCTTCCCAGGCCCACAGAGGTGGGTCCTTATAGACCTCCTTGATGGAGGTGGGAGCCCTGTAGGAGTCACTGTAGGTACTGATGGGGGTCTTGGTCTTACGCGAGAACAGGTACATGGTGTGGTCCTGGAGATGCTCTGGTAGGCTCTACCTGTCAAGGGCTCCTGCTGGACATCAGTGACCACCCTTCCCCTAGAGAGCCCACACCTCCAGCCTGGCAGGTGCCCCTAGCTGCTGCAATCCCCTCCTGCAGATGATCTCTCAGCTTCCTTCCCCAACAGTCTTCCTGCTCCCACCCCACAGTGATGCCTCCTCCAGGATGGGCACTGCCCATTGTGATATCACCTGGCTCAGTCCCATCCCTAGGGAGGTGAGGAGGTATAATTCCCTCGCTGCTCCTGACCCCCTCCTGCTTCCGGTCTATCAAAAGAGCCCAATTTCTAAGAGTTCAGAGGGCCTCTGGAGATATTCTAGGTCAGGCTTCTCACTGTTGAAGAGAAACAAAGGTTCTGAGGGGTTGTGACTCACCCAGTGTCATGCAACAGGTCAGTGGCATGCTGGGAAACTGCGGTTGGAGGTGGAGTAACATGTGCACCCAGAGGACTGGTTCTCTCTGCTTCCCAGCCCACCTGCCCCTTGCCCATACCCCAGGGAGGGAGCTGAGGCTGGCTTGTTTGATGCTTTTAATATCATTATTTGTGTTACACGATACACAACCAAGGATGATGGTCAATACTGCAATGAAAATGTTAAAAAAAATATTATACACGGCTCATGTCTTCCACACACCTTCCTGGAAATAAATTAGTGAGCACGGAGAAACCTGGCTGGGTGGCAGCCACAGCTGAGAGTAGAGGGAGTGTTAAGGCAGTATCTACAAGGGGAAGAGTGGCAGGAGGGCAAGCTAAGGCCTAGATTCTTCACTCTAACCTCCCAGACAGGGAAGTGGGGAGCCATCCCCCTCCCTAGACACAGAAGCTGCCACGGCCAGCTTCCTGTCTCTCTCTGCCACAGATACACTGCCTCAGCTGGAAGCCCCTGCCTGCCAGGGAACTAAGTATGTCCTGTGGGATGGAGATTTTCCCTGGTGTCTCAGGGCCACAGTGATTGAACAATGGGCCCCAGTCACACAGCAAGTCAGCAGCAAAGGCAGCAGTCTAAATGAGCCCCCAAAAAGAGGTGGTACCCATGTTCTAGAAAGGTGAGTCAAGGAGCTCTGGGTTGGTGGAGGTGGTAGTGGGAGGCCTGGTTCTGCGGTCCAGATGATAGGGGCACAGGGGTTGGAGGGATGTTGATCTAGCGGGGAGAGATGGGCTCAGATGGGGGCTAATATGGGCCTTGTGGGTCCTGTGGGTACCTTCTCTGTCCTTGCCTCCCTTTGGCATTTTCTCATTATCTAACTTGGGCCCCTGCACTAGAGGAGGTAGGGATGGGTTGGTGGATTGGGGGGTGGTGAGCTGTACCCCAATAGTTTCGAGTTGGCAGTTCCTGGGTATGATGCAGGGAGAGGTGCCACCCTTCCTAAGCCAACAGCCTCACTCCCTCCTCTCATTGCTCCTCATTCCAGCTCCTACCTCCCAGGATTGGTGTCCAGAGAGTGGGCTGTGGGTGAGTCCACTACATGCCTGCAGCATGTGAGTGGATCCATGGGAGTAGATTCACCAACATGTATGGGGTATTAGCATGAGCTGATCCACCTGGACCTGTGCCATAAGGTCTGTGGGGCACAGGCCTGTGCAGTCTTAGGCTAGCTGCACTTTCATTTTTCTTCACACGGTGGCAGGTCTACACTGCCCAGCCCCAGAGGAGGGCCTTCCTCACCTCCTCCCTCTTGATTTTCAGCCTCAGCCTTCTGGCCCCCTCCCCCAAACCAGCAATAGCAGAAGCAGCTGTATACACATCTTGACCTACAGATACCCTATGCAGCCGCACACAATAGACATCCCCAACACACATATACATTCACAGACAAACATGTAATCCCAAACAGAGCCACATGTGCTCAGACATACACAGTCCTGATAGGAACTGCCCCTTCCCCTTTCTACAGACACACACAGCTCATCCCACCTCAACCTCTCGGTATACTGAGACACACAGAGATTACCCCCTCCCCACCACAGAAATTCCTATGAAGAAACACTTTCAGGTTTAAAAAGATCTTAAAAATAATTTCAGCTGCTGCTCATTTTCAGGCTGAGGAAATTGAAGCCCAGAGAAAGCAAGTGGCTTGCCGAAGATCACAGGGAGGGGTCAGAGCCACCACCAGAGAACCCAGGCTCTGACTCCCCACCCGGGGCTCTCAGCCCATTGCACTGCTGAGCTGCCTTCTGCACTGTAAACAGACCACACAGGCACTTCCCCACCAGGGACACCCACATCTATGACAGGAATAGACTGAGGAAAGGCAGGTCCAACAGAGACACACCCCCCCCCCCCGACAGCCTCAGAGATACACACACATTCTGCTAAGCACTCCCTACCACATCCAAATAACCACATCCATACGGCCACTCAGCCCACTGGATTCTCCAAAGCTTGCTCCTGGATTCTTACTGGGAAGCAGCCTCCCAGATCTTGGGCTGGGGTGAGGGGAATGGGCCATTGGAGGACAGCCTTACTCCCTGCTTCCAGCCTGGCATTGAGACTAATGAGGAGAAGGGTGGGTGAGGGTGGGCGTGGGATAGGGTGGTGGCAGAGAGATCGATGCATTGGTGAGGGGCCAATGAGGACAGATCACACCATCCAAACTTCAGCCTGTCTCTAGGCCCACCTTATCCTGCCCCAATCCCAGGGAGCAAGGAAGTTGGTGAATGGGGCAAGAGGAGGAAGAAGGCAGTGATCTAATGAGTGAGGGGCACCACCCTCAAGGGCAGCTTTGCCAGGCTTCCCATCTGAGGAGGGGGAAATGCAAATAGAAACATGGGCCCTCAGGGGGCGTGTGAAGGGGGCTCCGAGGTGCTGGGATTCGTCCCCACTGCCCTGGGCCTTTCTCCCTCTGAGCCCCTTTCCTGGTTAGGCTGAGGCCGGGGCTGGGGGGTTCATGGCTTCGCTGGGGTGGGGCCAAGCCCCTGGTTTTGTGATCCCCCCACTCGTTAATGTTGACCTCCCTGACGTCCGGTCTTCTCTCTCCACCACCAGACTTAGCCCTGGGAAGCGGGGCAGGGTGCTGAGTGAGGTTCCCCCAGGTAACTGAACAAATGGCCCCACACCTCCTCAGCCCTCGGTTGGAGAGAGACCCGATTTTGGTTTCTCCGGCTCCATGAACACACAGAGGTACACGTCCTACCATAGGAGGAAGCAATGACTGTTACGAGGTTGGTGGCTGCAGGGGCATGGGGCCGGGGACAGGCAGACGAGCTGGGGAGGGGTCGGCCTCTGCCCGTTCTACCCGGCCCCTGGCGGCTCTGCCCCGGCGGCCGCAGCAGCCCCGCCTGCTACTGAATGTGGCAGGCGGTGGAGGACGTGGCCTGGCAGCACATGCAGGTGGGGTTCACGGACTTGGGGGGAATGAGGTCTAGGTCCTCATCGTCGGGGATCTCATCTAACCGGTAGCCATCCTTCAGCAGCTGGATGTTCAAATCTTGGTTGATCTGCTGTAGGCAAAGGGGAGGGAGGTCAGGCCCGAGCGGCAGGGAGGCACCACCCACGGCTCTGCGGCCACTCCAGGTGGTCTGTGCCCCAATCCAGACGGCGAGCACTGCTGTCCATACCCCTAGGCCCTGCGCCTGCCCAGGCACCTCCCTCCGCCTCTGGACTCATGCTCTTTCTAGTCACCCCTCCCCATTCTAAGGTCAACTTCATACCTCTGGTCCTGCTTCTATTCGGGTTTTGCCCCTATCAGGCTGGCTATCACCTGTATTTCACAGCGTTTCACATAGTTCTATTTAAGTAGCCTGCTCCAATCTAAAGCCCCACTCTTAACCCTGGGCTCCCTGCACTTGAGGCCAGTGACAGCTTCTTTCCATCCTATCCTCGGCCCAACCTGTGCAGGGCACCACCCAGCCCTGCCCAGCCCTCTTTTCCTGTGTACTTGGGTGTTGACTCCAGCCCTCCCCCTGGATAGCGGTGATCCTGTCTGGTGATGTCTAGGGCAGGAAGGGGTAGGGGCTCACCTCAGCAGAGGAATAGCCGGAGGAGGAGTATCTAGACATGTCAAAGTCATCATCGCTGGCCATGGAGGAAAGAGAGGGAAAGTGATTCCAAGAAATTAAGTAGAAAACTCTCTGCAATCCCATCTCCCCATTAGTCAGCATCCCACACCTCCTTCATAGTTCCAAAGAAAAGGTACAATCTCAATAAAAGCCATGCCTGCTGTGCAAATGCAGAATTTTTAAAGACAAGTTCCCTAGCCCCACCTTTGAAAATAAATTGCTATCCTTAACCTCCTTTGAAATATAGCAGGTGCTCCTTTTGCCCCCTTCCTTCTCACCTTTTTTTTTTTTCTAGACTCAAATCACCCTGACTTGCGGAGTTTTCCCAAAGCCCAAGTCTAGTCAGATGTTTTCCAAGGACTAGGGCTCCTCCCTGAGGGGGTGGGGCATTACGCATCACATTTTGCTAGCCAGGGACCACATCACAGGCCAGTTAGGTACAACCATTGGATCAGTTGTCCCAGGCTGAAAGCAGACAGCACAGGCCCCCCTTTCCTCTCTCTGCCACCTCCTTTAAGCCTCTGGTCCCTGCCACTGTAAAAAAAATTCCAGTCCCTGAAGAATTCACCCTTGGAGAGATTCTGGCTGAAGAATACTCCAATTCTGACATTATAGCAGGTATGGCCTGTATGGCCCACTTGTGCAACACAGGTTCCTTTGGTCTGCCCTGCTACCCCTAGGCCCCCATACACACCTGTCTGTGTCAAGGGCTACCAGTGGCTTCTCATCTGGGCTCTGGTCAAGCGAAGAGTAGCCTTTATTGGGGACGACCAGCCTGGGTGAAGAATTTTGGGAGTTGGATTGGCAAGTGGAGCATACAAACCTGGCAAGGGACTAGGTTGGGCCCCATCCTACCACTTCCTTCCTTCCCACCCTCCCCACCTTGGATCCTGTTGAGGCCGTCTCCTCTCAGAGAGGAGCTGGGCCTGAGGAGGGAGGGAAGAGGGGGAGGCTCAAGACCAGCAAAGATAGTTACTGGCTGGCAGGGTCCAGGTGGGGTAGGGAGGGCCTCTACCTCGTTCGGGCCATGACATTGTTCTTCTTGGGTTGCTGGTTGACAGGGCTACCCATGCTGCCGTTCTTCAGGGAGCCCTTCCGGGCCAGCTCCCGCTGCTTCTCTGCAGGAAAACATGGGAAGGAAGCTGTGTCCTGCCCTTGAGGCCACCCTGCCTTACCACTCAGGGCAGCCTGGGCTGGGCTTCCACTGTGAAACCAACTGCTCCTAGAAAGACTGAGGCAGGGACCCCAGCTCTAGGCCGCTGCTGCTTGGTGGATATGGTACCTGGCCCTGCACAACCTGAGGCAGACAGTCGGGGTGGGGGGGTGCAGAGAGGAGGCTGCCTCTATTTTCCAGGAACCACAACTCCCATGTCTAGTAGTTAGTGGGTACTTGATGCCAGGGAAAGGCTGGAGAGGGAGAGACAATCACAGAAGGATGAGACAGTCAGAGAGGGCTTTCTTTAGGTGACACCATGACCTGGAGAGAGGTGGGCATTCTAGGAAGGAGGGATAATATGTGCAAAAATGCATTTATAAGTGAGCACAAATGTGGCTTTGGATACAGGGGTGAAGAGAGAGGTTA